AAAGAAAGAAAGAAAGAAAGAAAGAAAGAAAGAAAGAAAGAAAGAAAAGAAAAGAGAACCACTGGGCTCAGGTGCACAGGAGAAAAGCAAAGAGCTTTCTAGTCAGAACCAAGTGGCTCATAGACAAGAGCGACACCAAAGCTCCGAGTTTCAGCTCACAGTAAACCAGGCACAGCCTTGCTCTCCATGAAAAGTATTTTGCGCTTTATCCTAAAGGCAGTAGGGAGCCATGGACAAATTCTAACAGAGACCATGACACAACCAAATGTGCATTTTAGAAATAACTTGCAAGAAATCATGTGGTGAACAGCCTGTCATGGAGCCAGAACAAGCAAGAAACCCAAATAAGGAAGAGGGACACATCCAAATAGAGGAGGCAATGTGCTATCCTGCGCATTCCAGAGATTAAAAAATAATGAATGAAAGAGCACACGATCATCCTTCTTTTGAAGTTAAAGAAGTAAAACTACAAGATGCATTAAATACTAACCACAGCCAACACGTGGAATATAATTTGTGAAATGACTGTAGAAAATGACTGTACTTCCTCCTCAAAGCACGGTACCGATTCCAGAGGTAGAGGAGATCACCAAGTGGCTGGTGAGTGTACCCCTAGGATCAGGGGTCAGGCCTCCATTTCCCAGTGGTGTCAACTTGGCCTAAACAAGAGGAATGACTCAGAAGGAAGTCCAGAGCAGATTAAAGTCCAGGCCTAAAAGAAATGGCCAGTGTTGACAAGCAGTGGAAGATAAGGCCGGAACTAGTTCCAGGCAATTGTAAAAGGTCATTAGAGTCTGATAAAGGGCACAGAAGATTAGATTTCACCCTGCTCAAAGGGGAGGTCCAACGGAGGGTTTTCTTAATGGTTCACAAGCAAAATCTTGATGAAGCAGATAGTTTGGAGAGACTCATCTGACGACGGTGTTTAAGATAATGGAGAGAGCAAGAGGTGCCTGGAAGGAAAGACCAATTACAGAGCTGCTGTAGAACTAAAGCTGGAAGAGAGCTGGTGGGCCTGGAAAAAGAGAAGTGGGGAGACCTCAAAGCAGCACCTCAAGAAATCCTCTCTGGGTCCTTAATCTCGGTCCGGAAGGGGGAGTCACAGGAGCTAATTCTCACATTCTGCTGGTTCTTCTTAAACCTCCATCCAGGCAAGGCTGCTGAGCAAGAACCCTGTTCTTGCCATGCATAAGTAATTACTGGTCTGAGACTTATTTGTTTCTTTAAGTGACTGTGGCTAAAAAGCTGGGGATAAAAAGCAGAGATCAGCCTTTGAAGTTCTGCTCTACATGAAAAAATAAAAAATAAAACAAAGCCAGGTGTGAGAGAAACTATGAATGGAAAAGAAAAGTCCAAAAGGTAATTTTCCATATATTTTTCTCAGGAAAAGTGTAACTATTCCTTATAGAAATCCTTTCCCTGAGGAGAGAGGTTGTTCAGAGGGTCTAATTAAACAGTGTGTCAAAGTGTTCCAAAACACATGAACTATTCATGAACATGTGTTAGACATTATAAGAAAAAATATGTGCTATTGTCCCATCGCTTTCTTTGACACACTTGATCTCTGCCTTCAGAAAGTGTGCTACTGACCCACTGTTACGCTGGATTACATCAGTCACTAGTGGAGATGAGCTGGAGATAAAATGCAGGCTGTTAAAGCAGCCTGTTCACTCTTTAAAAAAAAAAAGCCTTTAAGGGCTTCTATCCTAGCCATCAAGTTCATAACTAATTGATCATGTTAATAAAACCAAAGCGGGTTATAATAAAATACCCATTCTCCTTACCTACACATACTGTGCTGAACCACTTAGAATCAAGAGCCTTCGCGTAAATTTCTACTTAATGATGCAAGTTATATTTCTTGTATAAGGAGAAAAATTAACAGAAACATATCCATTCGTATGCTGCATCTTTCTCTGCTTTCAAAAACTACTTCTGTGTTTACCATGTACAAAAAGAAAGCCCGTTCCCCCATGTCAGTTGTTCGGATTCACAGAAGACCTAATTGCCTCCTACAGGATCATTTTGCCACCAGTTTACAATTAGCATGCGTTTCTCATGCATGAGCTGACCCAATTACATAACAAATTTTACCTTTGGGGATTTCTCTCGCCTGCTTGTCTTCTGTCCACCATACAACTCAATTCCACACTGTCAGCAGCTGAACACGGTTACAGTCAGTCTCTGTCAAAATGATTTATTCAAATTACAAACAGAGACCAAATCCCTCGATAATCATCCCTACCCTCTCACGTGCACCCTTACATTCAACTTAACTTTGAATCAAATCTTTTAATAGTCCATAGACATTGTATTCAATTATTTAGTTCCAATAATCCAATATTTCTGAAGCTAACTCATAAAGTCTCGGGGAACTAAATCAGCAGTGTCCTTGTGAGTTTATTAATGGGTGTATAATTTATTTTACATTCTAAGTCAATGAAAATTTATGTGGCTATATCAAAAGAATTAGAATTAATTACATTTCAGTGTCAACTCGTAGACAGCTTTTGATCTTAGCTTCTCTTGCAAAGCAAGCGAGCTTTTCTCATGAATGGGCATGCTGGATTGCAAGTCACAGCAAAACTCAGGATGGCTGGGAAACTGGGTAAGTAATCAAAATTACAGACATTCACAGAGTAAGAGAAACATCACTGTCGAATAGGTAATGGTGTTGAAACACTGTCACCACCCAAAACTGATCCCTCTGTACAGCAAGGACAGGCACAAACCCGGGCAGCTGTGAGAATGCTACACATACTAGTCCCATCAGTCTGAGAAAGCCTGTGATTCTCTTAGTGGTTTCTTTTTTTTTTTCCTCCTCTTCATATGATACTTTTTTCTTTCACCTATGATGAATTAGAAAAGAAACACTAGTTTTTACTAATATCATAAAAGCTGTAAAAACCTCCTAGGGCTTGATTTTCCCATTTATTTTCTGTTTCATCCCCAGCCTGTGTGAGCTCAATGACTCACATGTGCCCCTCCATGTGCATAAACAGCACAGGACAGTCACCTCTGGCTCGTCGCTGAGCCCTTGCGACATGGACAGAGCATGCTGACTTGTCGCCCTGCTGCAGGTCTCCTGACCGCCTACCCTGCTCAGGGCTCGGAGGGCGGGAGCCGCCCGCACGTGGAGCTGCAGACTGGAGACACGTTAACGTTCGCACAGGCACGACATTCCTCAGTCCAGTCGTGTATGGATACCTTTCCAAAAGACAGTTAGGAAACATACAAAGATGTATGAGGATTTGGAGGCGAAAGGAGGCATGTGAAAACCAGGTGAAAAACCCACAGAACCCAGAGATCCTAAGACAGTGCATTCCACAAAGTTCCCAGCTGCTGCACACAGACTTGAAACAAAACCTGAACTTGTAAAGACTGTCCTCTATTAAATATCTTAGCTGAGTATCTCGACCTCACATAAAAAAACCTCCCTCTGAAATAATCATCTCAGATAAAATGAAGACGTAATTCAGAACATCACTGGGAAAAATCAGGACTTTGTTCTAAAAGCCAAGTTCTGTTTCTTTCCTGTGGGTAAGTAAATTCCAAATCCCGCCTTTTCTTGTTCTTTCCGCAGCTATCACGTGTAGTCTAGAGAAGTATTTTAAATTCCAGTAATTAATAAATCTCCTGTGTTCACTATGTTGTCATTATGGGTACCAAAATAAAGAAGGCAGAGCTGACCTACAGTTACCTCTTACATTACACAAAATTTGAAATTTAAGGTTCTACTTTATCCATACCCTGGCAACAACTGGAGACTGAGTAGCTATTTCCAAATGACTTCAATTCCTAGACAAATGAACACGAGAGTGTCTGAAAATTTTTCATAACAGTGACAGACACAGACACAAGCAATCAAAAATGCCCACTCATCCATAACATATTACCCCAAACACCTAGGAGTTATTAAATTCACAGCTTCATGTCTTTATACTTTCTCCAGTCCAAGGGGAATTAACAGCAGCTTAGAAAGAAGCCACTAAACATCCAAAGGTAAAATGAGCTGGAAATATATTTTATAAAGTAGATCAAAAAGAAAAATATAGACTATAGTGATCACTCAGCTCCCCCCATCACCTGGGGTTTAATGTAAGACACAACTCACAAATCTGATCCCTTCTTATCATCAGCATGAGCTCCTCCTCCTCTTCCTAGCCGGAAAATTCCAGGGTCTTCCCAGATTAGACCCTTGCTCACTTCCTCCTCTCAAAACCATCCAGGTCGCACTCAGAAAATAGCTGTATGGGTTTTGTCCAATATTGTCCAGTGGGTTAAATTAAATGGTCTGGAAAACTAGCAAAACCAACATGGTACTTTTCAAATCAAGTCAGATTTCTAATAGCAAGAGGCCATGGAGTAATATAGAAAACCCAGTGCAGAATGGGAAAATTCCATGAGATTGTGGTCTTATAAATGAATCATAAATTCACCAGACCTCAAAATATTTTGCAGTTTCCCTTCTTTAGGAGTAGAGTCTTAACAGAAATACCGTGAATGATTTTCTTTACTGTAATCCACAAGCCCTCATCGTGGCTAAATGAATTGCGACTGTGATTACTACAGCTGTCAACACCACGAGAATGCAAAAGGGGCATGGCTTTAAGGCGTGGTCTGAACTAGATGCTTTTAAACCTGACCGTCATCTATTTCATAGTCCAGATCTCATGGCTATTTATAGACTCCTAGGTATATGATAATTATAGATTAATACATACCTGTATTTAAGGGGGTTTGCATAGTTAAGAATGGATCTGCCAACGACCTCTGGCATTTATTCCTGCTAATGATAAAGTTTGATGAAATGATCAGTTATTTTCTCATTACTTATGAACTTTGACTTAATTTGAACATAAATGAAAAGGCTTACCTCTGAATGAACTGCAATCCTTGTGTTAGCTGTCACATGGCCGTCTTAGGTAGAGTTGCTTAGTTCTTTGAGAAATAAATTTCTATGCTAGTTGAACATTTGAGATAGAACTCTAGTTGTTATAACATTTTAAAGCTCTGAGCAGAACTATCAATGAAATACATCTCTTGTTTGTATTTTTAAGGCAAGAATGGGTTTTCGATTTGAGGAAAGAATAAATGGGGAGAAAAAGGAAGGTGATTATCTTTATTATTCATTTTTGGAAGTCCAAAAAGTCTTAAGAAAAGCCACAGGATAGATAGCATCAACTCTCAACTCTAATATAAAATGTCCACAAAAAGACCAAACAATGAGTAAACCTTAGAGAATGTGATAAAAAGAAAGGTCCCTTCAAGACCTTAAAATGAAATAACATTTTAAACAACAAATAGCTCTGTGCCTGAATAATTGACAAATACTATTTTCTAAAATTACATGCTAGACTATCTGCAAATAGTGTATGTGGACGTACATATATCTGCACATATCTTATGACCATTGCCCAATGTCAGCAAATTTACACCCATCTGCTAACGATAAACGTTTTCTAGAAGTTAGGCTATATTGCTTATAGCATACACATACACAACGGAGGTATTCATACAATACTTGTGACACACTTGTCACACACTTGTGACAATCTCATGAGGTAGTGGCATCACAACTATACCATACACAGCCTTAATTTCCATTCTGGATATCTAACATTAAACCACTCCTTTGCAGAAAAACACATTTTGACACATTATATAATACATTGGAAGAAATACAATCACACATATGAATTACAAAAATTAAGAATGAACTACTTATACACCTTTAGTAAGCACTAAATTCACATCCAATGTGTCCTGGATTTCTGCCAGTCCCGATTTTTGTTATTCTGGAGAATATATTACTAAAAAGATGTGCCTTTCAGATATAAAGTGACTACATATACAAATGTTTATTTCTGAAATGATATATAACGTGATTAACAGATATCTAAAGTATGCATAAAATTACAAAAGACCATTTTTTACTATACCCAAACTGTACATTAACTTTATATGGTTATCTACAGGAGAAAAACTGTCAGAAATTTTTATCACAAACATTTAATTTTGACCAAATTTGAAGGCTGGGAGATATTCAAACTATATGAAGAGGATACTGAATTATAACTTCTAGGCTGGAGAGAGCCATGATTTAGTCAGGAGGCAGGGATTTAAGAGGCGATGTAGGCATGCTTTATGAGTAGACTGAATATCACTCAGCAACAGATATGCTTCACACTCACTCTCACATTTCTATCCAGAGACACATACCAGGGCCACCTCAGCATCAAGAGAAAAAGCACCTACATTACTGATTTGCTCCTGGGTCCTCTTCAGTCTCTGCAGCTCAGGAGTGTCTGTGACGATGCTGAAGCCCCTCCCTTTGCTTTCTTCAAAATCTCTTTTGTACTTGACCTGACAAGAAAGAAGAAAATTGATAAATGTGTGTATACGTGTGTGTATTGTTTATATAAGTGTATGTATATTAAATATATACATATGTGTGTATAAACACACATACATACATACATACATACATACATACACACACACACACATACATACATACATAGAGAAAAGGAACCAAGGGAATCACAGACCCCCTCGGGATAGGCAGGGCCCCAGAAGCTGCTGAAATTGGAAGCTATGTACATGTGTATATATGCACAGTGCAGATCTCAGAGAGAATTGTCCTGAGTGGCATGAAGGTAGGGAGGGTTACTATGCAGATCGGGTAGTTTGTATCCCAGAAGCTTTACCTGTGATCTGTGCCATCTTCAGGGTGTTACCTAACTATTCTGTGCCATTCTGGTTTCATCTATTAAATGATAACAGCAGAAGCTATGTAACTGGGTGTAGGGAAAAAATTCAAATGACCCAGAGAATGTGCGTGTCTAATTGATACATATAAGTATTAAATACCAGTTACGATTATCACCGTTAATGCTGCATTTTAAACTGCCACTACTGAAGAAGAAGAAAAGAAAGTAGAGAAAGGAAATTCAATATTATTTAATATTATAAATATAGTTCACGGCCCATCTTGTCAGCGAAAAAGCAACACTTGGAGCCTGGGCTTCCGGGAGTAGAAGGGACGCGAATGAACAGCCAGCCCAAGCGTACAAACTTCCTTTTACACAGCACACAGCAAAGCATATGGGCACGGTTACACTGAGCTGCACTAACAGATGTCTAGTAAATAAGTGCTTCTGAAAATATTTATGAAGAGGCCCACACCCCGGGATCAGAAAGCTTCTCACACTGACCGTGGTGTGCTCTGTGAAGAGGTAGACAGTTGCTTGCGGGGGGCGCGGGCCTATAACTCCAGCATTCAGAAGGTAAGGCAGGAGGCACAAGATTCCAGGTCAGCCTGCCCTACACAGAGAGACTCTGTCTTTAAAGGGTGTCAGGAGAGGAGACTGGGATGCAGCCTACCTAGCAAGGCCAAACCCTGGGTTCAATCCCAGAACTTCGTCTAAGAGAAACAGACTATTTTTAAACAAGGCTAATATTACAGCATCCTGGGAGCTGGAACAGCCAGAGATAAATCTTACAAAGTCTCTCTCTCTCTCTCTCTCTCTCTCTCTCTCTCTTTTTTACAGTGATTGTACAGTGACTGTAACATCGGCGAAATACTTGTTCTGTTCGTGACTGGATGTCCACATTCTTACACTCTTGTTTATTTTTTTAGGCCCAAATATCAAGAACTACGGAAACACCTAACATAGCTCATATAGTCCACATTTTGCCTTCAGAACTAAAACCCTCAAGTTAACAGTTAAATCATCATAGCTGATGATAAGATACACGGGTTTGTTGCAAATGTGGACCCTGAAGAGGGCTGAAAGTTCTCTTAGTGGGTCACAGTGGCCGTCCCACTGCGTCACATCCAGGTTTGGAAACTCAGTCCTGGCAGGGCTCATTAGCCCAGAGTAAACTGGAAGATTCTCCAAAAGAAAGAAAAAATAAAAAACACAACCTCGATTAAAACCCTCGACAAAAACAAATGGAAAAATTTAGGAAATTCATCAGTTTCGGCTTGGTAATATCAAATTTTCTCTCCATACTTTCCTTAATATTCTCCATAAATTCCTAAAAGTCTTAAGACCTTTACTTTAGCTGTTGCCATAAATAAATGATCCAATAAATGGTTATATTTTTATTGCAGAGAAAATGCTGAGTGAGCCTGGCCTTCTACCCTCACTCTCCCAGCATTCATGAAAGTGTCAGGCACATGTCTGAAAACACACAGGCCCAAGGCGTAGTCTCAGCGTCTCAGCGTGTCAGTCTGCCCAAGGCCAGCCCCAGTGATGGCCAGGTCCTGCAGAAGCTAAGGGAAGCTAAGGGGTCGTCCAGGGAGGAGGGAGTCAGGCACCAGGGTGAGGGGAATCTTGAGGCCTGACTGATAGGCAGTCAGAGTGCTTCTTTATTTATACAGGACTATGTAGGCAGGGATAGATTCATGTTGTTCCAAAATATTGATCACATAATTTTTGTCCCCAGACATGTTTTAACTTCTTCTTGGTCATAAATTTAGTCATCATTAATAGAGTTATCATTTACAATCATTTTCCCTCATCAACCCTATAACCCAACTTTTAAGAATCTAGAAACATATTTTGCCAAAGCATGACAGCCCTTTCTCACACTGGTAGCTCTTGAAGTTTCAAGAGCACTAGACAGAAAAAAAAAAAAAAATCTCCAAGCCAGCCTAGGCAGATTTTTATGTACTAAGCAATGTATTATCAACTTTTAATGGTCAGAGTTCTAATTGTCATTAGACCAAAAAAAGGACAAAGGTGTTGTAGTTATTATTCCATTTCTGGCATGATACAATGTTCATATCTTTGTAGAATTTATGCATATGTCTAATCTTGGCATTCTTTAGCTCCTTGGTCATACAACATCACTGTGGCCTTGCCCTAGCTAACTTTTCTAAGAACAGTCTTAACACTTTTTTTTTCATCCATTTATCCACACCACTCTTTGTTCATCAGTATAATACTCTGTGTATGTCAGAGGTAACTCCAGCCAATATACCTTTGTTGCTGTACCTTTTCCTCAAAAGGGCAAACCATGTGAGGCTCCCAAAGTTCCCAAGGGCTCCTAAGCATATAGTAAGAAGAGGCTTCTAATCTGATCTGCTGCCAGCTCCTCCAGCCCACCAAATCTTATTTTACTTTTTGAGTTGAGTTCTGCTTATCTTGTTCCTGAGTAAGTACAGGGGCAGATGAGTACCTTGGAGTGAGAGCCTGATAAAGAGTTCTCTGGCATCTTTGAGTCACAACCTCCAAGGTGCAAGGAAGACCCTCAAGCAGGCCAGATAAAGGGTATTTCCCTAAAATTGGCAAGGACTTTTAATATGCTCAGGACTTTTCTGGAGAAGCTTAGAAGCAGTACTTCGAGGAGAGGGCATAAATGATTCATAAGAATTTTCCCACCAATTTAATATCCCCAAATATTAAAAGCCCCCACCCACAAGCATGAAGCATGTAGAAATCAAGACCAAAAGTGAAGGACAGTACTACAGTGATTGCATCATCAGAAGGCTCAGCTTTGCTGGACCTTTGTCAAGCAGCCGTGCTGGCTTTACGGCTTTCGCTGTCCCTATCAGATATGCTGTGCCAGGAAGCTGGTCAGCTTAGCAAGGAGTGAGCATGGTGAGAGACAGGGTAGAAAAAAAATGGAAATACGAAAAGATCACAAGGTCATATCACAAAAAGCATGAGGACCTTCCAGGGAAACCAGTCTACCAGCCACGTCCTTCCATCCCTGACAGCAGCTTTCCAGAAGACACCGGAGCTCATTCTTTCTGCTGTTTGTTT